TGTGTGTGTATACAAGCGGGGGAGAGAGAGAGAGAGAGAGAGAGAGAGAGAGAGAGAGAGAGAGATAGTTACATGCTGCACCTGCAACAGGCTGCACGGGCCATTTTCAGGCCCGTGTCGTTTTCAGCCTGAAAGCCTGAAAACAAGGGCCTACAGGCCCTGTGTCGTTTCAGTCTAAAACAGGGCCTTCCACGCCCTGAGCCTTTTCAGCCTGAAACGGAGGGCCATTTTCAGGCCCTCATAAGATCGACCTGCCCTGAAGCTCAGGCACCAGACCAGGGTTTTAGCACAGGCCATTTTGGGCCTGTTTTCAAGACAACCTTTGGTTGAGCTTCAACGCCAGGGTCTGGCACGTTTTGGCATTGGCAAACGCAGACTCCTGGACGGGCCAGCACTATATAGGACTGACCCGCTCTGCAGGCTGCAGGTAGTTCATAGGGACTTCCCAGGCACTTCACGTGCAGTTCAGGAGGCAGGAGGTAGTCTTCAGGATTCGGCAGCAGCACTCTGGAGGAGCGCTGCAGTAGTAGTAGTAGCGTTAGCAGTAGTCTTCAGCGCTGGGCGCTAGTAAGAGCTAGAGTAGTACTGGAGAGAGAGAGAGAGATTGGGCGGAGGCCAGGGAGACTTACCTGCAGCGCCATAGCTCCAGCTTCGTCTTCGAGGTACCTGCAGCACAGCACCACCTTCACAGGTTAGTACCTGGCACATGAGAGAGAGAGAGAGAGAGAGAGAGTTCTTCTTCCTCTTCTCAGTCCACCATCTCCCTCTCACCCTCTCGCTACCTGACTTCACTGCATCAGCAGACTACGAGAGAGAGCGGGATTGGTGTCATTTGGATCCAGACTCGACATTGGGTTTCAGACATTTGACGAGGGATTATCTGGGACTTGTACCGAAGACTTGGTGTTAATGACATTCCCATCGCCCCCCCCTCTTCTTCGTCTGATCACTCCTCTTCGTCTGTGCATGATCTGGACCTGGCGCATTCTTCCTGTGTGTAGCGCCAGGCCCCTTCACACCTTGTGATAAGGATGATGTATGTTTGATCTGCATGGCGACATTGATTGGGCTAGTCATTGGTATTCTAACATTCCACTACGCTGTCTTATACTACGTGAGGGAGGTCAGTCCCGGTCAGGTCAGGACTTATATCTAAGTCTTCCACTGCGCTATAAAGCACCATTTTAGTATGTATCAGGATGTACACTGCTTGTTGAGATTTCACTAGCACTGCATTGTCCATTCAGTCCTTTTGATCACACTGCGGCTCCTCGGTTATATATGTACATCGCCCAACTGGGCATGTAACACACACACAGAGAGAGAGAGAGAGAGAGAGAGAGAGAGAGAGAGAGAGAACGGATCCCCTTAACACGGCTCAGACGGCCCATGCAGGCTACCTGAAGGGTCCTCGCAGCCATGTAGTGCAGACCCCCCACCAAAATCGAGGCAGGCAGTGAATATGAAGTAGAGCACGAGCTGGCCGAATATATACTCAAGATTCGAATTCAGGTCTGTGTTTCAGCAGTTATGGGTTGCTCACGTAGCTAGGCCCTGTTGGTCTCTGCACATGACTCTTAGGGCTTGGCTGCACTACTCACAAAATGTGCAAAATTAGAATGAATCTTCTGTCGAACATGGAATAATACACCACCATATGTTTTATCTTTTGTGCACTTGGTGAGTAGAGGCCCTTAGGGCCACTGCACGTATTCCTAAGAAAAGAAAAACGAGAAAAGAAAAGAAAAGCGAGAAAACAGAGAAATAGTGACCCATAACCGAGATGCACAGACCTGCATTCGAATCCAGACTATATATTCTCTGCCCACCCTCACGGAGTACAAGTTTGAAGTGTATCTCTGGTCCTTGGTAATATGCTGCAGGGACCCTTCCGAAAAGAGGCTGGACACAACTAGGACGTTTTTATTTTTCTACTTTTTGAATGCGCCGCATCACTGGTGCGTGCGTGCATGCGCGTGCGGCACCCCCGCGCATGAGATGCGCCGCAAGTATGATTCAAACACATCTCTCTCTCTCTCTCTCTCTCTCTCTCTCTCTCTCTCTCACACACACACACACACACACACACACACACACACANCACACACACACACACACACACACACACACACACACACACACACACACACACACAAAGGGGGTCCGAAAGGGGGTCCGAGATCCCCCGACAGGTGAGTGCGCTGGGGGGGCCCGGCCCCCAACCAGGTGCCCTGCCTGGCCAGGCCGCCCGAGACCTCCCCCGAGCCCCTGCCGGTCACTCGGGCGGCCCGGATCCCCACTCAGAAACAAACTTTAAAAAAAAAATAAAAAAAATTGCCTCATGAAAAAATATTCAGACCTGACCAAATGCCTATTCGATCAAAGTTTTTTTTGTTTTTTTGTTTTTTTTTGGGTATTTCAATCAAAGTTGGTGGTGTGCCCCGGAAGGAGTGACGGTGCAAGCCTGGGAAGTGGTTTTGTCCGGTTTGGTTCGTACATTTAGGCTCTCTCGCGTGCACTGGTGGTGTGTGATGCCAATTCCGTCAATGCAACGGTTTTTAATTTATATTTTTATTGTTTAGGAGAAAGTAACTGAAATTTGGTCAATGCCATTGTTCGGTTTTCTTCATGTTTTTTTGCCATTCTCAGTCCTAATAGCACCTTTTTTTATGAACAAAGTCATAGCTTCGTCCTCAATTGGATTATTTTGATATGAAGAACAAAAAATAATTCAAGTTAATTAATAATTTAATTAAGAAAAATGTTGTTGCCAATGTGGTGAAAAAAAAAACATAAAATTTTTCGAGTCCGTAGATCTCAATGGCAATTTTGTGAATGTCATTGGTTGATGGCTCTCCCCATTTGAGGTAGTTAATTATAAGGTTGGACGCATTAGTTAATGACGATAACCATAGTTAATGATAACCATAGTCAGTGCTAAACATAGTTAATGATAACCATACTTAATGATAACCATAGTTAATGATAACCATACTTAATGATGACCCTGGCTCGTGCTAAACATAGTTAATGATAACCATAGTTAATGATAACCATATTTAGTGCATGCTAACCATAGTTAATGATAACCATACTTAGTGCTAATCGTACTTAATGATAACCATACTTAATGATGACCATAGTTACTGCTAGCCACACTTACTAATAACCATCGTTAATGATAACCATGATGGATTTGTAACCTCGTTGTCCCTACAGAGCACAGTGGTGACGCATCCATGATCACTAAATGACTTTGTTAACCATAGTTAATGATAGGCTCCACGGTTCACCATTTCATAAAATTAAACGACTTTGTTAACCGTTTTATTATTTCTGTTCGATACTGGGCTACCCATACACTACCAAGAAATACACCATAAAGAAAGGTCACTCGAGTGGATAGAGTAAATCAGCAGGCTCACCACATTTTAGTATTTTTGTTCGATACTGGCCTACCCATACACTACCGAGAAATACCGCAGAAAGGGCACTTAGAGTGGATAGAGTAAATCAGCAGGCTAGCTAGACAAAGTGTCTCTATTCATCCTCAGAGGCCATACTGCAGATCAGCCTTGCCAAACACGTCCGGGCAATTATCCCACCAGCATCTCACGTTCACGAGCATTCCGTTCTGCTGCATATTAGAGACATGGTCGGGGTTCAACAAACCGGGGGCCGCCCGGGTCACCTTGGTTGCCCGGGCTGCCCGGCCGGGCAAGGCCCAGGCAAGGGTCGCAGGAAATTATGTTTTGATGGCTGTTGTTTGCTTCCCCATCCTATACCAAGTTGTGATGGTTTGGAGGTGATGATGGATGACAGAAGACCCCATGGGGCATACTGATCAATCCGATGATCACAAACTTCTTTTGTTTCCCCCTGATTGAACAGATGGCCCCAGGCTTCTTTTTTAACCCCCTGATTTATCAGATGCAAGGACTATGAGTGTGAACGATATACAGAAAACCAAGTTGCGAAATCGCACAGATGTCAAAGTAGTCGTGTCCAAGCAGAGAGTACAAATGCATCGAGAAACCATCCATATAGAGCAATACAATGAAGTAATGAGCCAATGTTCAAGCCCGTAGGCCACACCAACAAAGTATCCAAAGTCGATCGTCTTTGTCTGGCGCCCAGCGCCCAGCCTACTCTACCCAACTATCCTACCTACAATTGTGTTCACGCAACAGGCTCACTTCGACTCTCGAAGACCAATGTACATGACTGTCAACACCATAGCCGACCTCTCTTCATGCACCAGGTACGTATCTCGTCACCCTCAATCAGACCTTGATAACCCCACACTCGCCTCCTTCCCTGAAGACCACCAGATCACCTGCATTACCCCCTGGCGCCCAACAGCCTGCCTATGGCTGCCTGCCCAGCTGCCCCTGCAGCGCCCCACTTCACCTCTACGTGCCCCGTCAACGCCCTTGGCCGCAGCGCAGCATCAAGCAGTAGCACAGCATCACTTCCACATTGCCTACGCAGGCCAGAATGCCTCGCCGGGGCTGCCTCATTTCCTATATGGAAGTGGCAGCCTCCTGGATGCTGCGTGTGGCCTGGCTGGAAGCTTCCAGTAGCTTCCGGTTGAACCTCAGTCCTTGTGCCCAGGCTCGAGACTATAGTTGAGGGTCTGGGCCCTTTACAGTTGGGCACGGCCTGAGTCTTCAGACTTGGGCTGTTTGCTGCATATGTACACGGCTCCCAAGTAGGTACGTCGACAGTACGGCTTTTGCATAGGCCGATGGCCGGCTTCTCATTGTATCAGCCCTGCTTGTATGTACCCAGGCGCAACTGTCAAGGCCTGGGCCAACTGTACGATGCAGCTTAGTGAGGCTCACTCGCCCACTCAACCAACTGGCGTGCTGCAAGAGCCTGAATACCCACATATGAAAGTGTTGAATTTTGGCCTCTTACGAATATTCAGGCCCACCTTCACTTAGGGCGGGCACTCGGCTTGCTAGGGGCTTTGCCCAGAACATGTGATGTCTGAGTGGGCCCTGTGAGGGCTCGTTCCTTGCATTCCATCCCCCTTAGCTTCGAACTCCGCTGAGATGCTTCATGTTGGTGCCTTCCCCTTCAGTTTCTTCTCATACTCGGCCACGATCTGAGGAGCTGTCTTGACAAGTTCCTCCCTTGAAATCCATCGATCTTCCTTAGGATCAGTATGATGCCTGAAATGTAATGTGTATTCCCTTGCAAGTTTAGGAGGCCTACCCCTGCCAGTTGGCTTGGGAATAGGCATGTCTCTATGGTCCAGGATATCGTCGACGTCCATGTGGCCATCCATGGTTGGGGGCAGCATAGATCTCCGTGATGGAAACTGTGTTGTCTCAACAAAAGGTGCCAGCTAGGTGACCAGGGATACGAATGGCGTACAAGGGACCATCCAAATCATTCCCCACAATATCTACGACTTCCCCGGGACCGAAATACTGAGGCATTAGTTTCCTAGAGATGCCAAACTCCTGTCCCAACTCACTAGCCTTAACCCAGACACGTTCCCCTACGTGAAATGTGGACTGTCTACGATGCTTGTTCTCGGAAGCAATCATGGCTTCCTGAGACTTCTTTATATCTTCGACAGTCTGCTGCAACAATTTCTCATACTGAACACCAAATTCAATGGTTCCAGGAGTTGCAGCAGTTCAGTTTTCAGGTAGGAGGAAGTCTAGTGCAGATCCAGGCTTCCATCCCAGATGCAATTGATTATGACTGACACCGGTGGTGCTGTGTATAGCATTGTTGTACACGCTGGCGATGAGAGGTAGTTTCTCATCCCAGTCATCCTGGTGGGGCTTGATGTAGTGCCTCAGCAGATGCTGCACCACACAGTTCATTTGTTCAGCCTGCCCATTTGATTCGGGATGATTCCCATGAGTCATCTGGAGTTGGTTGCCCATCTGTTCAGCGGCCTTCTTCCACGTCTCACTGGTAAACCGGACATCTTTATCACTAACGATGGTCTTGGGCATTCCAAAATCACGCACCCAGTTGTCCATAAACAAATTGATGACGTGCCCAGTCCTGGCAGTCTCCGGCATGGCAATTAGTCTAGCGTACTTAGTGAACTTATCTACTATGACGAAGATATGCATTTTGCCATTCTTGCTGGTCACAAGAGTATCCATGGAGCCCATGGAGATACTCTACCCTGGACCAGCAGAAATGGGTAGGGGCTTCAATAACCCAAGCGGTGTTTGAGTTCGAGGCTTGTTCCATTGACAGTCCTGACAGGTCTGTATGTACTTCTTTACATCACCCAGCATGTTAGGCCACCAAAAGCGTTGTACTAAGTTAGCAGAAGTCTTCTTGTAGTCGAAATGTCCCGTTGCGTCATGACATTCTCCTGAAAATAAACTACGCAAAATCTCTCTAGATGGAACAACTAACCTCTTAAACCCTGCCTTTTCAAGAAAGAATAACCCATCCATCATCACAAACTCGTCAGAGGTGGCCTTGTCTTTGCCCTGCAATTTGTTGATGATGTCCATCATGATGGGATCTTCCTTGTAGGCTTCCCCCAATGATCAAGTCACATCCTCGGATAAGCCAAACTCCGAAATCAGCGCACCTAGGTAATCTTCCCTTCGAGACAACGCATATGCAACCTTGTTGTACTCTCCCTTCACATAGTCTAGTTTGAAGTCATAGTGATCTATGATTTCAATCCAGCGTTTGACTGCATCGGAGAGAACTGGTTGTGTCTTGATCCACATGAGGGTCTAATGGTCAATTCTCAAGTAGAAGAACCTTCCTAACGCATAGCGCCTCCAATGGACAAGTGCCTTGTAGAAAGCATAGAGTTCCCTCTCGTAGGTGGACTTTGCCAACGTCTTTGATGGCATCATTTTGCTCATGTACTCGATCGGTCTGAACTTTTCCCCTTCTTGATGAGCCAGCACTGCGCAAATGTCGTACTGGCTTGCGTCAGTGGTTACAACAAACGGCCTTTGCGGGTTGGGTACCATGAGAACCTCATGGTGCGTGAGGGCATGCTTCAAACGCTTGAATGCTGCCTCACACTCGTCGGTCCAGTCCCATGGCGTGTCAGGTCGAGTTAGATCAGTCAAGGGAGATGCGACCGTACTATAATTCTTCACGAAGTTGCGGTAATAACCACACATTCCCAAGAATGATCTGACCTCAGTCACTGACTGGGGTCGTGGCCAGTCACGTATGCTAGCCACCTTTGCATATTCGGGCCTGATCCCATCCACGGATACTTCATGACCCAAGTACAGGATTCGAGTGCGACCGAACTCCCATTTTTCTGCGTTTATCTTATACTTGTGTTGCCGAAGGAGTGAGAGTACTTCGTTTACATGCTGAGCATGCTCCTCGACAGTTTTACTAAAGGTAAGTATGTCGTCGAGGTACATGACGACGAACTTATCTCAGTAGTCATGGAAGATCCTATTCATGGCGTGCTGGAATGTACCGGGCGCATTGCGAAGGCCAAAGGCCATCAACACAAACTCGTACAGACCGTACCTGGTCTGGAATGCGGTTTTGTGTTGGTCCTCTGGTCTTATGGCAATCTGCTGGTAGTCGGATTTTAAGTCTATCTTTGTGTAGTACTTACACCCTGCACCCTATCCAATAGGTCGTCGATGCGTGATTGAGGGCTTTGCGTTCTTAACAGTGATGGCATTGAGGCCTCTATAATCAATGCACATCCTTAGTGTCCCCACTTTCTTTGGAACAAATAAGACTGGTGAGCCAAAGGGGGAGGTGCTAGGCCGAATCCACCCCTTTTTTGTGAGCTCTTTCAGTTGCCGACGAAGCTCGTCCAATTCGGCCGGAGCCATCATGTAGATTCTCCCTTTGGGTATCTTGCTAGCTTGGATGATCTTTATGGCATGGACAACCTCCGTGCGACTCCTGTAGGCTCCTCAAAGAGATCAGGGTACTTAGCGACGATGGTCTCTGTCTCCGGGGTGTTTTAACGGCCTCCCCTTTCGCAGAGACATAGACTAAGTACATACCTTCCTATTGGTTCTGCTTATAATCATTATAGAACGCAGGTGTGCATAAACACCCATAGGAGTCTATTAACCTACTGGCTTTATACTTGGCCAGTCTAACGGTCCTCCCATTAGGCAACTCCTGTTGTAACACCTTGTCCCAGTCAAATTGGGGCTTGGCAACCTCGAGGTTGTACATGCCCAACAACATGTCGAAAGGCAAATCGTCGCTCACCAGGAATTATATATTATGACTTAACTGTCCTCCTGGGTAGGAGAAAGTGCAGACTACGTCCTTCACGTAGTCTTCCACCATCATGCGCTCTTTGTTGGCCAAAGTAGATGTTGCCGGTCTACTAAGGTGCTGCACCTGGTCCTTTAGGCACAGTCCCTCAACGCAATCACGACTTACGAAGTTTCGCGTGGAGCCAATGTCTAAGAAGGCGCCGCACTTGCGACCACCCACACCAACTTCGACAACGAAGTGCTCCCCTCTATGACCTCTACTTAGTGCCACCCAGGACTCACGAGGGTCCCTTGTTGACCACTCACCTTGAAGGTCCTCTAAGGCTTCAGACACATCCAACAGACTGAGTATAGTTTGGTCCGGATGCGTTTGCGGGGTAACTAAGGAGTCAATAACTTCGGGCAACTCTTGAAACGGGGAGGGTACATCACCCGCTTCAACGAGAGTAGAAGCAGCTACAACTTCTACTGGCCCTAAGTGTTTCCCGAACAGGAGATCGTTGAGGCCCCAGACTGAGAAGAAGGATACCCACCCTTAGGAGGGATCTTCTGCGAGACCTTCGGGTTCTTGCACTTAAACTATTGATGGCCATACTCGTCGCAGTTAATGCAAGCACCACGTTGCCAACGGTCGTGCCACACTTCCGGATCCAAACTGGCCCTAACCCAAGCAACTATTTTGTTTGGATTGGCGGCTTGCCCCTGACTCCTTTGTTGACCGCCCTTGTCGCGACCACCTGCCTTAGTCTTAACTGCTGCGGCGAGGTTGCTACCCTCAACACTCTCCTCGCCGTCTAACTCTGCACTATCCACAAGCTCAGAAACATCATCGATTTCAGTTTGATTCCCATCGGAATCAACCATCATGAATCGACTACCCTTTTTCTTTCACTTTTGTGGAGCCTTTTCCTTTCTTCCATTCATAGGGGGGGGTTGAGCACCACCCAGCGCAGCCTCTAAGTCTAGGGCCTTCTTGCTGAATGTCTAAAATGTGTGATACTCTAGTCGAGCTTCGTTGGCTAACGAGTTCTTGATGTTTGTGGGAAGACATCTCAAGAACATGGTCAGGAAGACCTGTGGATTCTACTCCACGCCTGGGACAACAATCGACCGCTCTACGGTCGTGGTGAGTTCACGCACAGACTTGTACTTCCTAGCATCAAGTTTCAGTAACCCATCAGTGGCTATCTGCGCCTGCTGAGGGTTGTGCCACCGCGCCTCTACCAAGTCCATAAAGCTCTCTCGGGTGTAGGTCTGAGCCCAATCACCCATGTTTCTGCCGAATCCCTTTGAAGCAACCAATTCGTTAAGCCAACGAGCTGTTGAACCCTCTAAGTAGGATGCAGCAGTTATCACCTCCTCCTCTACCAATGTCCTATTCGCCCTCACCCACAGTGGCACTGTTCTCAACCACGTGTCGAGAGCCTCGTCCTTCTTGTCTCCTAAGGAGGTTGGAGGTGGTTTCATGGGGGTCTTGGGGTACCAAGGCAATTGTTGTCCCGCTGGCGAGACAGGCGGCAGCTGTGGTGTAGCTCCAGCCACTGGACCAGAAGATGAAGAAGCAACATTCTGAGATAGAGTTGCTGCTGAAGTACCGCTTGGTGATGGTCTCGACTCAACGACATAGGGGCCTGTCATCGTTGAGAATGGCAACGATGGCAAAACTGTTCGCCTGATTCCTGGCCTATGCATGGCATTTAGGATCGGTTCAAGGTGTCCTGGATTGTATCAGTTTGTTGTCCATGTATGCATGCATGGACAGGATGCTCGCCTTAAAATCTTTTCAGTATTATCAAGGGTCGAGTCATCTAACCCCTCTACTGCAGCTTTGTTTGCCTCCCTACCCTCTAGTCTGACACACCTATCTCTAATCTCTCTCTCTTTTAGTAGACTGTTTAAGTTCCTCCTCTAGCCTTAAGCGAATCCTTTCTACTTGCTGCAGCTCCATCTTCTCCCGGGTGCATGGAGGCGGCGAGCTGAACTGCGAGCCCGCCATCTGACTAGTGCCAGCTCCTGACGTACTGGAGATGGACTGTGAACTGGTCTGTTGACCAGTTGAGTTGCAGCAGTTACTGAAGAAGTAGCCATTGCTACTACGCTAGCTGCTGCTGCTGCCAACGTCCGTTCTACGGCTGTTGCTGCTTCTCTCACAGTCTCCAGATTACGGGCCCTTGTTTCGGCCCTTAGCCTTCTCTCATCCTCTGGTAGTAGAAACTGGAACATTGCGGGTATCCGACCAGTGTCATGTCGTGTCAGCCTCCTATCGCCAGTTGTACCTTCACCACCGTCTGACCCGCTCATCAGCTAGGCGGACGCTGTCTGCACTAGAGTCCTCTCTGGGACCTACCGCAGCATGCGTCTGACCTACTTCCATTCCGATTAATTCTGTTCAGCAGCTTTGAGAAGAACTAACTATGGTAGATTACAGTCCTACTCTAGGTTGTCTGTTAGGTGTCAGCAGTCTGTCAACCAACTAATCAAAATAAAAATAAACTATTGTAAGCAGATGTATGCACAATGGGTAAAATAGTGATGTTCAGTTGAGTTCCCAATTGGAATCCCCTTCCCCTGTACCCAACGTACCTGTGAGCATCATCAAGCAGTAGTGTCTAAGGTGTGCAACCACGGCCCACCCCTGTGCCCAAGGCGTATCCTTATGACCAGCCTGCCCGTTATTTACCCTCGCGTGCAATGAGCCCTATGTCTGACTGATCTGGCTGATCAAGAGACAATTTAAGGACAGCCCCCGAGAGTCCTCAGGGATCATTTAACGTCGCAATCAGGACGACGATCACAGCCAATGGACAGTTCAGACCCCAAACAGAAATGTTTATAGACGTTCTGGGAGCGTCTGTACCAGAGATATTTATAGACGGTCTGGGAGCATCTGCATTAGGACTGGTCAGTCTGCACACCCCTTCTATCAGCGCAGCAAAGAGCTTCAATGGACAAAGCAGCATGGGCTGCGTATACTACTCCCATGGGTTGGCATGGTGACCGTGACCCGTGCTTTGACCAGGGCCCTTTAGAGGCACCGCCCTCTCCTGCCAGATGCGCCACCGGGAAGAATGTCGTCTCTCAAGATAGAGCGCACACGACTCCTTTCAAAAGAGAGCACACTCAAGTTGGACTCACTTCCTCACGGTAAGAAGAGATTGAGAGGGTAGATAAGGAATGGAAACAACATACCTGGAGATAGCTGCCCCCAACCACAAATTTCTCACCAATTGGGCCGACGTGCATTTCGATGACCGGTCAATAGCCTCGGTACCATCCACAACGCACTACAGTGCCCCCGCAGCCAGAATGCCTCGTCAGCATACTCTCATCATCATACATACATCCGTTGTCGCCACAGCTCACATGCTGTCGCCACAGCCATCCAGCGGCCAGCCCCTCTACCTGGGCCCCGCTATAACAAGCCAGCGTCGAAGTATCCTTACTGCACATGAAGCATCGTCAGCGCACCAAGTAACAATGTCGCCAGCGCCAGGTAAGCGGCGATCACGGACCAGCTCTGATACATAATTACAAGGAATACGGGTGTGAACGATATACAGAAAACCAAGTTGCGAAATCACACAGATGTCCAAGTAGTCGTGTCCAAGCAGAGAGTACAAATGCACCGAGAAATCATCCATATAGAGCAATACAATGAAGTAATGAGCCAATGTTCAAGCCCGTAGGCCACACCAACACAGTATCCAAAGTCGCGCCTCTCTGTCTGGCGCCCAGCGCCCAGCCTACTATACCCAATTATCCTACCTACAGCTGCGTTCACGCAGCAGGCTCACTTCGACTCTCGAAGACCAATGTACATGACTGTCAACACCATAGCTGACCTCTCTTCATGCACCAGGTACGTATCTCGTCACCCTCAATCAGACCTTGATAACCCCACACTCGCCTCCTTCCCTGAAGACCACCAGATCACCCGCATTACCCCCCTGGCGCCCAGCAGCCTGGCTATGGCTGCCTGCGCCCCGCTGCCCTGCAGCGCCCCACTTCACCTCTACTCACCCTGTCAGCGCCCTTGGCCGCAGCGCAGCATCAAGCAGTAGCGCAGCAGTACTTCCGCATTGCTTCCGTAGACCAGAATGCCTGGCCTGGGCTGCCTCACTTCCTATAAGGAAGTGACAACCTCCTGGATGCTGCGTGTGGCCTGGCTGAAAGCTTCCAGTAGCTTCTGGTTGGGCCTCAGTCCCTGCGCCCAGGTCTGAGACTACAATTGAGGGCGTGGGCCCCATTTACGGTTGGGCACGGCCTGAGTCTTCGGACTTGGGCTGTTTGCTGCATCTGTACACGGCTCCCAGGTAGGTACATCGACAGTACGGCTTTTGCATAGGCCCATGGCCTGCTTCTCAATGTATCCTCCCTGCTTTGTGTGTATGTGCCCAGGCGCAACTGTCAAGGCCTGGGCCAACTGTACGACACAACTTAGTGAGGCTCACGCGTCCACTCAACCAACCGGTGTGCTGCAAGAGCCTGAATACCCACATATGAAAACGTCGAATTTTGGCCTCTGATGAATATTCAGGCCCACCTTCACTTCGGGCGGGCACTTGGCTTGCTGGGGGCCTTCGCCCAGAACATGTGATGTTTGAGTGGGCCCTGTGAGGGACAGATGACCCCAGTCGTGAAGTAGAAGGCGGGGACACAGAGAGAGAGAGAGAGAGAGAGAGAGAGAGAGAGAGAGAGAGAGAGAGAAGAGTACTTTCTCCTTCAGATTGCAAGAGAATATAGAGGAAGAAGAGGCAAAGAGAGAGAGAGGGGAAGACAGAAGAAAGAGAAAGAGAGGGCTTTTTTTTTTGGTTACCCTCTGATTGATCAGATGACCCGACCCCAGTTCCTCCCCCCCCCCCTGATTCAATAGAGAACCCCAGGCTGTCCGCCCCCCCCCCCCCCCCCCTCCC